GGTCTTGGCGCATACCGGCCTGTTCTTCTCGGGAAAACTCTCTCTAGTAAAAGAAAGCCAGCGAAGTATGTTGGACACAAAATCTTGGAAGCAACTGAGATCAGTGAGATTCTGCGGTACTTAGTGCAATCTTCGCGAGGGCCTTTCTTGTGAAGCGGGACAGCGATTGAGTCTCCCCATGAGTTGCGGACCTTGTCATTAGTCCAAACCTTTGTGAAACATGAGAGCAATGCGTTGAGAATTATATCCCCGCCATCTTTGAAAAGGGCCGATGGAAGACTTTCCGCGCCGGGAGCTTCATGCTGTTTCAAAGAACGGATTGCTCTTCGGCTCTCTACTTCTGTAGGAGGGTCACTGGGCACAAGTCAAGCAACATCCGATGGAGATGTATGTGTCACAGAGGGAAGTGTTGGGTAGTTAAATTGAAGTGCAACTGCTCTGCCTAGCGCTCCCGTCGCCTATGCAGATTGGTGATTTTTATGCCGTCTAACTCGCAGCTTGTCTGACTAATGGCCTGCGAATTGCAACCGGTGGCCTTGATGAGACGAGACAAGCTGCGGCATTTTCTAACCGCTGCAGCTGCCTCTATTTCAGCAGCAAGCCTATCCCACCAGGATTCACAGTCAGAGCGAAGGCTTGCTTTTAGTTGTAGACAAATTGACCGAGATCTTTCGTTGTGTTCCATGCCGGCTGGCACAGCGCGTCGATGATCTAGTAGTTCCGAAGAAGTTGCTGAGATTCAGCTTTCAGCTGTGCAGCGGACGAGGCCGCAGCTGCACAAAGCTGCGAACAGCATGGCGTTTTGCAAGCCTAACCAGTGCTGGTCTGCATCCAGAGAAGAGGAGGGGGCAACGTTTTCACGAAGCTTCCGTTGGTACTCGGGTTGCACTGCCGGATCTTGCAATTTGCAAATGTTCCGTCGGGCTTGTTTGGCTCTTGGGGAGCCACCGAAGAGCATGCAAACGGTCGCGCACACCAATTCATGGTCGGTTTCCACAGAAGTAGACCAGGATGATCAACAATCGCGCCACCTTCGCCTTATGGCTATGTGGTCAATTTGCGACTAACGCTGGGTTAATGATGGAGGACACCAGATGGCATAGTGTCGCCTGGGGTAACGAAAGTTTGTACTAGAGAGGAAAAGTTGATGATCGCCACACTGACTTAGCATTCTTTCTCCATTGTCAGAGCGAGCATCATCATATCGCTATGGTCCCCCGAGGTGGCGTTCAGGTGGGAGCAGCCGACCAACGCGTGGGTTGAAATCTCCTGCCATAATGAGGATGTCCGTTTTAGGTACCTTTAGGAGCAGATCATGAAGACCTAGATAGAACCAGTCCTTGACTGCATCCGAGCTGCTGTCAGTAGATGCACAGGCAGAGATCACTAAAAGAGCACGCTTATCGACTCGATGTCTGCTGACCTTGCAGGAGCCACGGAACCTAATAGCACAGAGATAACTGTTGATTGGGATGCAGTCAAAGAAGGCGGTATCGACTTTAGCACCAAGTGCAGTCCCAAGACTAGTTTGCCCAAAAGCGGCAGACTTATTGTCACCTGAAAGGCGGAGATAAAACGGGTGTGGTGGTCGTTTGGTGACCACAGCTGGTAGGCTGTGTTGGGATTTTGAAGTCTTGTCTCAGTCAGGCAGCAGACATCAATTGCAATGGTTTCTGATGTGCGCGCTATTCCCGCTTGTTGTCCTATCTGCACTACAGTGCGCACGTTTAATGTTGCTAACTTGAACCGAGTTCCAGGTTGCAGAAGCGATGATGGAAGGTCATGTGGCTGGTGGTTCCCTGTGAAGCACTGTGTGGCTGAGTTGGGAGGTGTTTATGAAGGAATTCCCCGGTTGAGACAGTGTTGTTCACTGTCGAGAAATCAGGTAAGGAAGTGGGTAAATACTACAAAGGGAAGATAGGTAATCGGATGGTGTGTGCTCGTAAAGTTGGTACAGTAGCAAGAACGTAGAACATCCTAAGAACGAGAGTGTAATTGTGTTTCCGTGGTTCTTCAGTAGGCGAGATACTACTCAGTTGCCTAGGCCGAAGTAGGGAGTTGTCTTAAGAGACTCCACCCCGACCGTTTGGCTAAATACCCTATCCACAATGCAGTGGAGCGAGTTCAGGGAATCGAGCCCATTGAGAGCCGGTGACCGAATTCTCGGTTCCTACGCCTTTCGTATGGTCAGGCGTCAAACAGGCGCCCAATCCTCCCCGCAACTTCAGCAGCATGGTGCTGGGGTACAATGCTTCGCCAAAGGGAAGTAAAGGTCAGTGACCTTATTCAGTGGCGGGTCACATCCGCCACGTCACATTGGTGTTAAACGAACATTTATGACTTTTTATAGGGAGGACGCTTGTCAGACCAAAAGCCACCAAGTGCTGGAACACTGCCGCGGAACCATTCGTTGGAAGGGAAAAAGCCCGAACCACCCAGCTGGCACCACGAGGAGGTGGTTCGGCAGGCCAACACTGGATGTACTTTTTTGGAGCATCTGGAAGACAGAACAGAACAGAACACAGCTTAGCACACGCTAAGGTTCTCTCATCTAAACATCACAGTCCAAAATGGCCTAAAAGATACAACTCACAAAACATCCTTTGGATTCAGTTTCAAGCCTCTGAGACCAAATTCGTATGTAATGACCATGTGCTCACACTCTGAAATGACAGGAAGGAAGATTAATTATTATAAGTCACCCGCAAACTTCACTCTCATATGATATTGCCTTTAGTACCAATGTAATGACACAGTCTGTGTCTTTCACTTTGCTTCAATGAACTGCTCAACTGGTCCTCTAAGGTGATTACCATGTCATTCGCAGTAAGCGTTGATTTTTAACTATAACCTAATCCGGGTCACGGTGTCCACCCTCTGTAGAGACGATGGGCTGACTGAGCGTACGAAATCTTCTTATTTGCACAAGTCGAGTCAATTCATAATCTAGTTATGACGTGAGTATGGAGCACCGTGTATAATACTTCGATACTGCAATATGTAACCTGGAAACTAACAATATTCATATGCAACCCATATCAGCCGAACTTCTCTTCGGCACCCTAGCTACCACAAGCTTCGGTTAACAGAATACCTGCCATCGGTCGAAGAGTCATTACATGAAGTCATGTAAATACATGCTCATAATGCTCGGACCTCGCGGTGTTTGTATCACCTTGTCTTCGGGCCTATGATTCTTCTATCCCATGCCCACATCACTGAATTAAACCTGGCAACAGTGCGCTTAGTTTTTAAGTGCGTTCCCTCTTTATCCATGCAGATTAGCACTACGGGTGTCGGCCGCAGATAACGCGGTATTAACCAAGCGCCCTAACTATTCCTCCGGGTAAAGCACCAATGGGATAGACAATCTTCTTCCTAATAAAGTAGCTCAGCATCGAAAGGCGGAACTGTCTTCGACATTATACATATTTTACGTTCAAAAACCTGGGGTCAAAGTAATATGCACTGCCGATTGCCGGCCGCGTTTCCGATAGTAAACCACATTCGTCTGGTTTACCACTTTCCTGCCTTCCTATTCACTTGATTTGAAACGTTTTCTTACGGAATCTAACAATGCAGGTCTTATGGGAAAATTCAGTTGAGTTAACCCATGGGGGCCGCATCATATTTCTCTTCGAACATCCATAGACAGTTACATATCCTTCTAAATAAACTCCTGAAATTGGTCCGTTGCAACTTTGATAGGTGCCCTAAACCTTTCCTAGTGCAAAATGTTGGTGCAAGGCCACCGGCTGCTTGTTATCCATTTGAAGTTTGGCAAAGTGGAGCATGAGGTAGTAGTCGACTTCCACCACACTTATGGGTAGATAATTTTTATGCAGATTTTGTAAACAGTTCATTGCAGTTAACTGGAAGTAAGATGGACTACCACTAAATATCCGAAAAAGCACTGGACGGCCGGTTCATTCCAACAAGTGCCGTCAGTATTTCGCCTCCCCGTATCTACCAGGGACCCAGTTCGGGACACCTCATCGCCTGCGACTTAAGCCACCAGGCTGTGGAAAACGGCTGCCATTTGACGGGGCTTATCCTTCACGTACGTTATATAGGACGGGGTTGTTCCCTACAGTTACGGCTTATTGTCTGGTCTACCGCCGTCACCCCTGAGTAGTGGCTAAAGCAACTGGTGTCGAGAGATGATGGGCTCTGTTCCTAGTGGAGAAGGAGATATGCACCTTTGATGGATTCGATAGTACAAAGGACCAATGAGATATCAGCCTTGTTTTACTTAATAACGCATACAGCTAAATGGGATTGTCTGAGATTGGATCCCCATCAGACGATTGGGGCAGCTGGAATCGGTGAACAATTCCATGCTTTGGGCATGAAGAACAGTAAAAAACTCGCATAGTATCCGGAGCTGAACACCATTCGGCCAACTCATGCACCATTTCTGGGTCAAAGAGAGAATCACCTGTTGGCCTCATGTACGGCTAAGCATTTCTACATGATGGGACTATCAGTAACCTGGGTTTATGCTCCGCTACCATGGTACCATGACGACCTGTGGAATGAGGAATGGTGCCAGGAGGAGAATGGACTCTGGTTTACAACTTACGTGCCGTAAACATGAATTCAAATTCAATATTACTACACCGTATTAACAGCCCAAGGTCACCAGCAACTAGTTATCATACAAAGCTAAGACGACATCGGAGACATAGCTTCATTGGGGCATCTACTACCCGAGCGACGTTGAATCAAGATAAGCAAGATTCTCTGTTTCTCTAACGAGCTGAGGTAACTATCACGCACCGATGCGTATAATCATCATCTCATCATCTATTTGACACTTTTGTTTATTTCGTTCACTAAGTCTGACACATTTCCTTGCTTTGTTGTGCACGCATATGCACCATTTCCGGTTACATTAGCATGTTTTGTACTATTCCGGTCCTCAACAGTGCTCGAGCTTATTCAATTATCACTCATCTTGGCCAAGTTTTCATAGTTCTCACTACGTTCTCGCTCCTTAGCCTGCGTCAAGCGAACAGAAAAATCTTGAATTGAACAACCGTACCCTACTGAAACGGTACTGGGCGTCCTACAAATCGTTTGCCAGGGTACAGCCGATAGACTATGTGCGGTAAGTTTCTGTGGAAATTACCGTTATTCTATCTTTTAAGTCACGGGCATTCACACACACGTGGACATATTCGTTTCATCGAAAACGTCTCTATTTTTGCGGATAATTTCGTAGTTTGCTTACTACCACTTAGTTTCTGATACTCTACAGTTATTGGGCTTCACTTCAGCATTGTCTCTGTTTTGTTCTGATATCACCTTTGTAACGCATCCGAAATGGTGTGGGCAGTTCACACACTTTCAACACTGACTATTGGAGTACCCACTGCATGTTTGATTTAGGGTTCTCAATCTCGCCATGGACAGTAGTGTAGCTTAAAGTAAACCTCAGTTATCTCAAGCACTGGGACTGTGTGCCTTATAAACGAGAGTCAACTTTTTGGCACACATGTATTTTCTTCTGCCACTTGAGAGATCCTGCCACTGCTATCGTTGACGGGCATACCATCAGCCTGAATTGAACACTCGAGGGTATCATCGCTGCAGAATTTGCAAACAACATTTTCCTCTCAGTCGGGATACGGCGAATGTATCAACTAGTACCATCCTCGTAAGCACCGTCAAGCTAAATACTTAACTCCGGTAATTTGGCCATTGATCAAGTGATACAAATATAATAAATCTGCAGTCACGTAAAATGATTTGCCTGTTCCATACTTCTTCAGTGGTAGCTTTGATTTCTGTCCACATTGTGCGTCTTGGCTTACCACCACAATCTTCACATTCAACCTGATATTGTGTGCTGGTTGGTTACCTTAAAGAATGTTTTGTCCCACACGTTGTTTGACTAATTTACCATAAGTCTTATTCACTGGTTGCAAACACCGATACACCCGTCAGTTGTTTTCTACCAGGTCATCCTATTATGATGCACCACGGACAGATCCGCGCTTTTCTTCTGGTTTGTGTCCTCTTATTGTTTCGTTGTTGTTTATAGATTGAATTCATTTACTCTGGAGTTTGAAACGCTATTTTTCAAACTAATAACTAAAGGAGACAAAAACGATTCACTGATGATCCGCTTGGCAAGTGTTGCTTACGGTTCAGCACACACGAGTTTGTCCGTACCATTTTCACAACACAATTATTTCTGTGGGCTATACTTAAGGTGTAAGTGGCCTTTATACACATGCAGCCAATTGGGTGCAGCCAAGCCGAGGATGCAGTTTTTCGTAGGAATGTCAGCACTCAATAATATTCTTGGTGTCTTATGATCATCTATTTTTGTAGTATCTTCCGCTGCAATTTGCACACCGAACGCGTCTTTCATGGGAACCTTGTGATCAATGAGCTCTATTCGAACGAACTTTGTTTTACTCCCTCTGGGGAAGTTTCGAAGCGGGGGAATTTGCCGATTGCTATTTGCTTAGCTGTAAAGCTCTTTCCGAATTGATACCACCATCGTTGTTACGAAATACTAGGTGTTTTGATGTTTTCTGGGAATGTCCGTCGCAGCCTGACCGTCACGACGTCCGGAAAAACGGCAGATTGCCGTTTCGTCCTGTGGGGACTCATCAATGGAGCGCATTCGCTGGATCCTGCTGGATCGGATTCTATGACTGCGAGTTTACTTCAGCCACTGAACTATGGCTCAACAGTGCACACATAGATATCCGTATGGCATTCCACTTTGAGTGTTAAAACTACTCGTTTAACTATCCTGACGATTGTACGTACCTGTAACACCCAGTGTAAACATAACCTGGGCCATAAGATTGCGCCTTGGTGACCAAAAGTGCGCGCAACAGTTGCAATACTAGGAGTTGTGCGCAACTTTCCACCTCGAAGAGTAGTGGGATCTCCGAGTACTACTAGTCAAGAGTGTAACACCGCCTGGTTCAAGATAATGTTTTAAGAATCCCTCGCTTCTTAGATTGTGCTTCGTATCCTAATTAGCTGGGTATTTCACGTTCCATATTATCTATGATTGGTTGCGTAGCATGTTCATCGTGATGAGAGTGGACACTAACGCGGGGCGATGGTTTGCACGCCTCAACGGTATATTGAGCTGCGCTCGTTCGTGCTTCTTGCACCTTAGGCCGGATTGGTCAATGGTAAAAGGTCAGATAAACCCAGCTCCTGGTCCTCCATCTTGGAGCTTAGAACGAGGGTGGCTCATTACTCCCTAAAACAAATAACTTATAATCCATTGCCAAAACTCCGCTGTCTAGCAATCACCTTTTCGGACTAATGGCTTTGGTTGAGTTCCCTAATCATTCTCTTGGCTAGACCTTGACAACCTGACGGTATCCTGCCCACGCAGTGCAATGACCTTCAACCGATTTCTTGATGTACTTGTCGTCGCGGAGGATAACCAACTGTTCCCTATGTACTGCATCGAGCGGGATGGATAAGAGTGAGAATGCTACTGCTCCGACCTTCTCGTCTTATTGTTCGCTCTGTTGCGCTTTTTCATCCTTATCGTCCCTTTCTTACTTCACTTTTATCCGCCCTCTTCTCTACCAACAAAATCTGGGCCCTCTCCTACATTTCCTCTCTACTTACTTTTCTTCTGGTTTCGACGTACGCAATCACAGGACGTCACCACGTTCCAGTCGACAAGACCGTGTCCAACCAAGTGGACAATGTCAATTCATGCGTTTCTCTATAGAACCCTCGATTCTCGCTAAGGCACACTTTGTTGCAAATCAGGCAACAGGCACCGCCTGTCAGGCAACACTTGTCTGAAACTAGAGGCCCTGTACAACCGTATCTTGTGCCCATGGAGAGATGCTTGCATAACCGAGCTCTGTGCTCGTTCTACGATCCTCACTATATGACACTAGTGGCAATTTCTCATTGCGTCTATCTGGAGATGATTCGGCTTCATAAGCCGGTCAAACCGGTGTGGACATTGCTCTGAGTCCCCAGCTTGAAGCTGCTCTGGTATACTGGATCCCAATCAACAACCAGGTATGCGTCGTCAGATTGCTTGGCTCATCAAAGCGTGAAATTCACACTGGGATACTGGGTGCTTGTCATTTCTGCCTACGACTCCAACAAACTGAAGCACTGACTCGGTACAAGCAAATTGCTACCTTCAATTAAACTTGTTCCTTCGTCACAGCAGTCGCATGGATACTGTAGTGCTGTCTGAGAAACTGAATGTCCAACTTGAGAAACAGTTTACTTATGAGCTACATTGTGACTTACCACGGTGTAAGCTTCTATAATGATAGCAGTAAGAGATTGTTGCACGTATGTGAAACTGCTCGTCTATTTCTCATGATCACTACATTCCGACACAGCACCCGTCGTAGGGCTATATGACGCCCATCAACTTCGCACCAGCTATGAACACAAGTCGGTCACATAGCGTTCAGTAACCGTAGGAGAGGCTGTGTTCAAACCTGCCGTTCGAGTTGAAGTACAATAGTGGACACGGACTACACGCTTGTATGTGCCGATCTTCGAGTTCATCTTGTTAGAAGCTTGCAGCAACCTCCTAAACGCACAAACATTTTTCAAATGGCGAAACCAGGCGTTTTGAATGTAAGTCAAACTGCGTTAGCATTTGGGTCGAATAACCCCTCACTAAAGACAGGATAAGATCATCAGTCGCATGTTCACCCGACGTTATTTGCAGCAGGCATATCTATGTGGCAAATACAATTTTCCACATGGACATCGCATCTCCATGCGGTCTATTGGGCTCTTCATCTTTTCTTTGACATGTTCTTGATGGAGGTGAACACAAAGCGATTCGCAAAGACTTGGGAGAAAAACTGCGTGGTGTCCTAAAAAGCAACCGTGAAACCTGGTGGTATCATATTGCTTCGGAAATGGAGACGCCCAAAGCCTTTGGTAACCATCAGAATTTATTCCGTCAGAAAAGCGAAATGGGCAGCGGTAGATCTGATATCATCGTAATTATATATGTGTAGACGGTCTATCCACTTGTCAAAACAGTTGGAGTGGTGAGCTGAGCACTTTGAAAAGCAATTTATCTTCAGGAAATATTAGATACGTTACTGGTCATTGGTTACCGTCTTCCGTGGACTGCCCTTTTACGCAGCACTGCACAAAAGTCTAACCTGAGATCAGACCGTTGGAGTTGTGTAAGACCACAGGACTATATAGGCTTGATCCATCTCCCTTCATATTCGCGATACCAGCTGTTGTAGACGATCTACACGATATATTAATGAAACTGTGAGAGCAGGAAGCTGTCCCAACCAGCTGGAGCTGTTCCGTTATAGTCCGGAGTTTCAACGGAGTATCACTTTCGCAATGCAGCATTTTGCATGCATCCGTTTGACCTCTATCTCCTCCAACTTACTTGCCAATGTCATTCCCCATAGACTGATTTGCACACATGAAAGTCAGATTAGCTAGATGCAAGCCAGGTTTCTTCAAAATCGTGGCTATTTTGACCACATCTTCACATTACGTTGGTCGTTGGAACACCATCATATTTATTGGTGACCCGTTGTAGTTGTGTTCTTCGACATATGAAGGTTCCTTCGATTCGGTGGATAGTTGTGCCATATGGGACTGTTTGCTCATGAAGAGTATGCCCGATACATCTGTAAATGTCATCAGAGCGTTGTACGCACGTAGTTCGGGCAGCTTGAGGACTTACGATAAACTGTCGCCGCTTTTCAATAGATCTAGTGCTGTAAGACAGGGGTGCTCACTGTCACCTTTCTACTTCAACTTCGTAATAGACGCAGTCATTAGAATGCGTACATTAGACTCGGATCGGAAGGTGTGGAGTTGCTTCCAAGTGATGTACTTCTTAACTTGCAGTACGCGAGTCACATTGCCTTTATCTGCGACAGCTCGCAAACACAGCTCGTAGCACTAATCATATTGGTACTGGCGGTCAACCGTTCCGGGCTCTGCTTTGCGCCGTTCAGATTCGAACTCCATCTCCATGATTGGCAGGGACCCAATCTTGCACTGATCTTAGCGGGGTCAGCTAGAAGTCGTCAATAAAAGTAAGTGACGTAGTTATATCAGCGCTTGCGGAATAGAAGATATTAGGAAAGTGCTTTATCC